TTCCATAATCCTTTCATTTTTGAGTGAACGTCTCCTTTGGTCCTTTGGTTTAGTAGGCAAAGCTTGAGCCTAGGGGTGGGAGCTAAAGGAAAGGGCTTATTTTGGAGAGGTTTACTTTTTTTTGGAGGAGAGAAACTGTAATACTAGTTTATCTGTTTTGTGAAATGTCCCAGCTCAGGTATAGAATTCTGATAATTTCCACCCTCCCCCCCCAGCTGCTTCCCCCAACCTATGTAAAATTTGTAATCCACTTTGGTATTTCTAAAAATTATGTGTTTCAGCCCACTTGATCTATCTGATGATAAGAATTAAGTTTTTGCTTACCTTATGGTTATAGCCTATGTCCTTTGGTCCATTTGTCATATTTTCGTTGGTGCATTTAGTTATTTATTGGTCTTTGAACATTTTTTCTACCCCCTAAGTACAATTTTATGAATTATCTAACTGCATTTGTATGAGAAGGAAGGAGAGAGACTGAAAAGTGTTTTAATAGGTAGTACCTTCTATTTTATCAGTAGCATGGTATGTTTCACAATTAGGGATATTTTGGCTTAGCTGGCTTGCTTTGGTTTGAAAAAGTTGGATTGCTTGGCTAATCATCAAAGCTTGGGAACTTGATTCTAATTAACTACAGTAGTAGCTCACAACAGAGTGGTAGTTATGTTGGGAGTCTGCCCTATTAATACTACCATTTCTAAAGTGATGGATTTTAGGAGCAGCATGGGAAGGCTGAGTGTGATATAGGCAAGACTTTGTTATTATAGACATGTTCCGACAGTTGGGTGTCTGGTAGAGCAAGACTGTGAGCGTGAATGACTTGAAATCTTGATTTAGGAAGCTAAAGGCACTAGCAGGATTGGTGGACTGAGAAGGTTTAAGATTTGTTCTGTAGGTAGGTAGTAATCAGTGCAAGGGCAACAAAGAGGGAAGACTCTTGAGAACAGTATTCTAGCACCAGGAATAGTTAGTTCTAAATGAAATTTTCTGTGAGAGAGCTTTCTAGATTTCAAAGGATCCATGCTTATTACAGCAAGTCCTGATGCTCACTAAAAGAGGCTATGTGCTTATCTGTCCTGTGAATAGGAATAATTTTATTCTCTACTACTATGTAACTTGCTTTTTACTCCTGTAATATCTTTATTATATAAATATAGCTGCAGTCCTTCACATTCTGTTGCTTATAATCTTATGAGAAGCTCAAAATTTCTTTGAAGCCTCTTGTTTCACTTAAAAGTTCAGGTAAATTTAGCATTCTATCCCATATGTTCATATTTGATCTAATATAAAAATGTTTCGGGCCGACAGAGTGGCACATTGGTTAAGAGTTGGCTTGGGACGCCAGCTCTGAGCATCAGGGCCCCAGTTCGGATCCCACATGAGGGCCAGTGACGCTGCACCCTCTACAGCTAAGATGGTGAACAACAGCTCGACCTGCAGCTGGACTGCCATGAGTCGCCGGCAATGGCGTAGGCTGTAGCCCCTGCTGCAGTGGGCTGCCATAAGCTACCGTGTATGGCCGGCAGCCAGCATGAGTGGCCAGCAGCCGATGTGAGCTGCCAAGAGCCGCCGTGAGCGGCCATCCAGAGGCCGGCGACTAATCTGCCTCACCCAGGAAGAGCGCAACGATAATACCATCATGGGCCAGTGAAGCAATGTCCTCCACAACTAGACTGAAGAACAAAACAACAGCAACTTGTCTATTCCCCTTCCCTGACTCCCCAGCACTGTTCCCATTCCCCAATTCCCCCAATAAAATCTTAAAAATAAAATAAATAAATAAATAAATAAATAAAAATGTTTCATTAGTGGCCAGTGAAAATACTAAAAAGCACTTTTGTAAGATTGATATTCCAGAAAGAAGCACATGTTGATCCTATGGCTTCGAATGTGCCTTCTGGCATATTGCCACGTATTCCCTGAAATATATGTTCACCATTTCCATATATGTATATTTTACTGTTTTTCTTCTTTCATCATGTGCAATTTAGAGATTTCATTTTAGGTAAACTCACAGGTACACATTTCTTTAATCATTTTTCTTCTTTCTCACAGCTCTGAGAAGTTGCTTCAGGAAGATAAGGCTGGCTGTTAGACTTCTCAAGAATCTTTTTTTTTTTTTAAAAGAAAAGGGAAAAAGTTTCATAGAATCTAGTGCCATTGATCTCTGAAATGCACATCTATTGTGTACTTATTCTATGGCAGGCACTATGCTTAATGTTAGGGGGGTACCATGACTAAAATGACAGAGTCTTTGGCCTAAGTTCTTTAAAAACTTTTCAGTATAAAAAGATTATAACATTGGTAAGTTAAAGAAGCAGGTAAACATTCAGTTGTAGTTTCTTTAATCACATTTTCCCCTCTACTGGCTTGGAAATTATTTACTTTATTCTATTAATCCCTATAAATTAAACATTTTATGCAGTCAATATTTAAATATTAACTTTAAAAATTGTTTAATATTTGTTTAAATATTGATAAATATAATGTATATTGCCATAATAGTTCCTTCTTACATTGAGAACCAGCCTGTATAGTGTAGTGATTAAGAGAATGGAGTCTGGAGTCAGACTACTTCCTCTTGAAGTCAGGGCTTTCTGTGTCTAAAATACTCGTAGAAATGTAAAATAGAAACAGTGGTACTTTTTCTTCAAAGAACATCTTTTAGAAATTCCTTTAATAAAAGTCTGCTGGTAGTAAACTCTGTTTTTGTTTGTATGGAATTGTCTTTTATTTCATTCTTGTTTTTGAAAGATGATTGCTGAGCACCTAGATTAACAATGATTTATTTCACCACTTTGAATGTATTGTTCCTATTCTCTGGCTTTCGTTCTTTCATTTGAGAAGTCAGGGTTACAATTGTGTTTCCTTTGTATGTTGTTTTTCCTTTGTATGTAGTCTGTCTTTTGTGTTAGGATGCTCTCTTTTTTAATAGAAATAAACTTTACATTGAGTGTAATGCATGGATATTAAGTGTGTGATTCAGTGAGTTTTGATAATTATACACCAGTGGAACTACTACTCTTATCAAGATATAGACCATTTCTACCAACATAGAAAGTTATTTCATAGCAATTTCCAGGCAATCCCTACCTTATCCCACAATAGGCAACAAATGATTTCTGGAATCATAGTTTAGTTCTGTCTGTTTTTGAACTTCATGTAAATGGAATCACACAAAATTGACTCTTGTTTATGGCTTCTTTCACTGAACATACTATCTAGGAAATCATCTATATGGTGTTTATGAGTTGATTCTTTTTTATTGCTGAGTACTATTTCATTGTATGGATAGACATTTGGGTTATTTGGGGTTATGATGAATAAAGCTGCTTTTAAGTATTCCTGTACAAGTCTTTTTGTGGACATGTGTTTTCATTTCTCTTTGGTAAATCCTAGGAGTGAAATTGCTTGATAATAGGGTAGGTGTATATTTAACATTTCGTTTTACACCCCCATCAGCAGTTTTTGACAGTACCAGTTGCTCCATATCACCACTAATATTTGGTGTTGTCAGTCTTTTTAACTTTAGCTTTAGTGGGTGTGTAGTGGTATTTTGTGGTTTTAATTTGAATTTCCCTAATGACTGATCATGTTGAGCACCTTTTCATGTGCTATTGGTCATTTATATATCTCCCATGGTGTGATGTCTTCGCCCATTTTAAAAATTAGGTTGCTACTTTATTGTTGATATGAATTTATGTATTTTGGATACAAATCTTTTGTTGGATATATGTTTGCATATGTTTTTTTTCCCGTTTGTGGCTTATAATAGTATTCTGCACAGCAATAAAAAGGAACAAGCTACTGACATACACAACGTGAATCCCATAGACATTAGGTTGAATGAAAGAAGACAGATGTAATATAGTTCTGCTGTATGATTCCACTTATATGAAGTTCAAAAATAGGCAAAATTAATCTGTAGTGACAAAAGTCACTTGATAGTTTACCTGTGCATTTAAAGATAATTTTAAAAAATATTTTAACTATCATTACATATAAGGTTTCTCAGGGTTTATAGTCTACTTCTACATTGTTGAGACACATTTTCAAGATTGAAAATAAAAATATTTTGTTCCTTTTCTTTTTAAAAAAAATAACCTGCTGACTATCATTTCCAGGAGTCTTCTCCCTTTTTTGTTACAGGTGTATAACATTTCTACCTTATGTGTTAAAAAATACTTTTCTGACTTGTAGAATCTGGGTAAAGGGTAAAGGGAATTTCTTTTACGAGTTTTGCAACTTTTTTGTAATCCTAAAATTATTTCAAAATAAGAAGTTTTAAAAGAAGAAACTTCTAGTTTTAACTGTGGAAACCTAATTACTATTTATAATACTGAGTTTTAAGTAAGCAAGGTAGAAACTTGGAATGCATTCCATTTACAATTTAGGACTATCTGTACTACATTTGATTCTTCATATCAATTCATTGTAACTGCTTTTTTTCTTTTCCTAGCTTTTAAAATATTTTGTCTTTTGCCATTGGCATTTTGCATTATTTTCCAACTTCTTCATCTTGGTCTGCATTCCAAAGACAGAATGAAATCTATGGTATTCTTGAAATGTATCTGTAAAGGGAAGTGAACTAGACAGACTCTTAAGTCCAAGTAAGATATGGGAAAGGCTGTTTGATAAGCATCTGGCAGTTTAGATCAGGGATAGCAAATACCTGTCACATACCATTCTTCTTTCATCCATCTCATATATTGCTCATTGATCACAGCGCTCTTTCCTTCAATAGTCTTTCTCTACATCTATCTACTGCCAGTTGATTTGAGTTGGCATGAATGACAAAATCTAGTTAACATCTCTGATTTAGAGGATTATTTGGGGAGAAAACTTCTGGAATATCTATTAGAATTAATGAACTATTACATCCATTGTATGAGGTAACATAATCATAATTTTGGAAACCCAATTATTTGTTTCTTGTCACTTAAATTTTCAGGTGTTTGTGAAGCCAATTGAATCTGCTATTTTTATAGAATATTCTTAAAGTATAATGCGTTTTTTAAAAATCCACACACTTGAATGTCACATTTTTAATCATTAATTTGGTGATGTTTTTCATAATGTTATTAACTCTTATTCTTGTGTTTTCCTCCTATTTTTAAGGAGTGGACCTACCCTATGAGGCGAGAGATGCAGGTATGACAGCCTTTTTATTTACTCAAGTCAACCCATATTATTACTATTATCATTATTAAATAACCTAATTTCACAAAGGATTTTAATCCTTTTGACTCATCTGTTGACTCATGATCTGTAGGTTCATCCCTAAGTGTTTTAAATATTAACATATTTAAGGTTAATCATGGATCTTAAAAAGATGGGAAATGAATTGTTGCCTGTCTTCCTTAGAGTAGAACCAGGGACATAGCAATCAATATATGTATATGCTTAATGAGTCACTTTATTTTTCTGCATCTGAAAAATTTGGTATAATATTATTCCTTTCAAAAGCAGTTTGCTCGGTATTTGCCTAGTTTAAATAAGTTCAGGAGAGTTGACTGTATATTGAAAGCTATATCAGATATATATATATACATATATATATATGATACAGTCAGGCTGTATCATACCCTAGATACTAATATAGTATAGTATATTAGTGATTTGCACTCAACTTCTGTAACTAATTCCTCTGGAAGACTGAGTTGAATACTCCCAGTATGGAATGAATTAAAGTGATAGCTAACCCTCATAGTAGTTAATTTTTCTTTTGGAATTCTCACTATTTACAGTCATCTTTGCTAGCCTTAGGATCAACCAGTGTCTTCTGTTCTTGGGAATCCCTTGACATGTAAAAATCTGTTTTCTTTCTTTCTTAGTAAACATTCACGTTTTAAAAATATATGAGTACCTGTAAGGCATTTTACTTAGTACGGTGGAGAGTACAAAGATGAGTAAAAAGTAACTTCTGCCCACAAGAAGCTGGTAGGAGAAATCATGCTTACACACAAATAATTATACTATTAGTATCTAGGGTATGATATAGCCCTACTGAAAGCTTTCTATATTGAATTCACATAGAATAAATTTTAATTCAACATACAGAAAGTACTTATTTAAATTGTTGAAACTGTCAATAAGCAAACATTTGATATTAGTCTTTTTTTAACTTTGCTATATATAATACTTTATTTCTGCTATTAACTATAGATAACAGTTCTACTCTTGTGCCGCTTTTGAGTTGGCTTAATAAGATTTTATATAATTCCAAAGGGAAGATTTTCTTTATGCCTATTTTTAGATTATAGCAGAGAATAGAAATAAAATTAGACATTTTATTAATCTAAAAGACAACAATACAGTGTACTAATTCTACCCAAACCGCTTATAAAAGTACTACTGTCAGTAAAACTGGGGGAAAAGCACTATGGAAGTTCAAATATCTGGAATATCTGACTTTTCAGAACTGTATTTAAACTTTGAATGTCTCATTTGATATATAAAGCACCATCTGCATTTCTGTTCCCAATCATTTGCTCAGTGTGGCTAGGAAATGCTGCCTAAATAACAAGCTGTTTAGCAACTTATTATAACAACTATGAAAACACCCTACAAATCTACTTTTATGGTACATATTTTATATAGATTTAAATTGCTGATGTCAAATATCTCGATTTTTTTTTTTCCTTTTCCCTAGGAAATTTTACCTGGATTGTTTTTAGGCCCATATTCTTCTGCTATGAAAAGCAAGGTATGAACTTTAGGTTAACTTTATCAAGAGACTTTATTAACCAGCTTTTTGGGAGTAAATTTTTTTTTAGTAGTAATTTTATTTGAGGAACGGTCCACAAATATTGCATGTTAACAGTAAGTGTCACTCTGGAGTACCTGCCTCTTTCCAAATTTTACTGGACCAGTGATTCTCAAGTGTTTCACCACAAATCACAAATGAGTTTTTATATTTTATTTTTCTCATGAAATCCTTGTGTTTGAAAGATTTACCAGATAATGTACCTTTATTTAATAATTTATCCTCTAAAACATTAGACATTGGTAATTACTAATCATAACTCTGAACAATATGAGATACAGTTAAAGCCCAAAATAAGGATATTTAACATTTTAATGGCCTACAACTAGGTTGGCAAGGTGGAGTGTTTTGTTTTGTTTTGCTTTGTTGTTGTTGTTGTTTTTAAATGGTATTAAGGAAAAGATAGGGTAGATAACCATAGACTCAAGTATGACTTACTTTGTGAAAGACAAAGTAGTTGCCCAAATAATATAGTATTCACAAAATACTGGCCTTCAAGATGGTTTTGGATTATTTGTTTTTTGTATTCCCACTCTACTTTATAAATATACCTATTATACCATCTGTCATATTAAATTATAAGTACATATTTGTTTACAGTTCCATCTCTTTAAAACCTCTTCCCTTTCAATGTCACCATGGTCTTGTTAGACTGAAGGAAAGCTTGTCTGGCAAAATTTTGATTATTTCCCACCCTGAGTCACCCATATTTCTTTTCATACTATCATTCCAAAAATATGTAACAACAAAACAAAAAGTGATAATGGAGATAAACGTTAGGGAATAAACTCCTTTTCTAATACTTATGATTTAAGCCTATCTTTTATTACATTAAAATAGAATTTTAATAAAAGGGACAAATTAAGACTCTGTAACTAGTGAAGTATTGCTTTTGTAAAACTTTTCTGTTGTTTGTAGGTGTGACTAGGTCATAATTTGCTTTATATAATCAAAAACCTATTGAACAGTAAAAAATATTTTTTGCTATTGCATTTGGGTTCTATTTTTGTAAGGTTTGTTTTTACTTAGTAATAGTCTAATGTGCCTTCAAAGCTTGTTTTATCCACAATTATATATGTCATCTTGTAGTTTCTCACAATGTATGAAAACTTCTTCATATGTTGTAGATCAAATGTAAACAAAGGAATGAATGTTGACTTCATTTTGGAGGTTGGATAAATGGCGAATATGGAACATTGATTAATTATTAATCCCGCCAAATGCTTACCTTCCTTCCCCTAACTCAGGATATACTCAGGAAATACAAAGATAATTGAACACTGTGCCACACAGAGGAAAATTGGCTGCAAAACTTAATATTGAAAACTTTTCGTAGCTCAGGCTGCTATAATAAAATACCATAGACCGGATAGCTTCAACAACAGACATTTATTACAGTTCTGGAGGCTGGGAAGTCTAAGAGTAGGTTGCCAAAAAGATTAGGATTTGGTGAGTGTCCTCCTGGCTTGCCAAAGGCTGCCTTCTTGTTGTATCTCCACATAGCAGAGACAGGAAGTGCTGACGTTGCTTTCTCTTCTTATAAGAGCATTAATTCATCATGGGGCTCTACTCTCATGACCTTATCTAAGTCAGTTACCTTGAGAGGTATCTATCAAATTACCTCCCAAAGACCTACCTTCTAATACTATCACCTTGGAGGTTAGGGCTTCAGCATATGAATTTTAGGGGGACACAAACATTCAGGTCATAACAAATATAAATTATCCTTTGACTTTTCTCGTGAATTATTAGTATTACTGTTCTGGACTATTTAATGCAGCAGAGAGTGGGAATTAAATATATAGAAAACTCAAGATTCTTCTGATTCCTCATGCCAGCGTGATTTGCTCGTTAATTTATTGAACAGATAATTACTGAAAAACTATGTTCCAGGCACTGTTAAACATACTTAATATGAATCAGTGAACAAAGCCCTTGTTCTCATGGAATTTACATTCTAGCTATTAAAATAACATCGTAAATTCATTGAAACCTATAATCACTTGCAAATAAAAATTTTGTAGAATTGTCATGTTCAATTACTCTATAATTCAAACCAAAAAAATACCACAGAATATAATATCATTTGAAGTTACCATTTTTCACTTTAGTGGAATTTAAAACCATGAAAGGTTTAATTAGATATTGTGAGTTGTATAAATTAATTCTGGCCCATAGTAGAAAAAGTGTACTGGGAGAGGCTGGGAGTAATCTAGAGATTTGGACTCTGGTACTGCTATTGACTAGGTCAGTGATGTTGAACAACTGTCGTAAAGAAAAAATATATGTAACTAGTCTCTACCTAACACTTGACATGTGCTGTAGGCATTATGCTAAATACCTTATATATTAAATAATTTTTACAACCACTCAGTGAATAGGCAGTGTTTTCCCCATTTTCACATGAGAAAACTAAGCCACAGAGCACAGGTCATTAGGAGAGCTAGGATATAAAGCTTAGGCTCTGATGACTCCAAAGCCTATGCCTTTAATCGCTATATAGTATTGTTTCCCAAATAAATTACTAAGGTCCCATCAAGCTCTAAAATTATAGATGTAAAAATAATCCTATTAGCCTTCTGAGGACATTTAATGTGTTAATCTTGAATCATTGAAATGTATTGCTGATCACTTCAGGTGTATTATTTCAAAATGAGCTTTAATCCCCTGTACTTGAAGCTCAGATGTGGCTGTATTTATTCTAATGTTGAATCATGTATTTTCAAACATCTGTGTTACAGTAAGATGATATTTTGTATTTTAAGCTTTCCCCCGCCTCTCTTTTTTTATAGCTTCCTATACTACAGAAACATGGAATAACCCATATAATATGCATAAGACAAAATATTGAAGCAAACTTTATTAAACCAAACTTTCAGCAATCATTTAGGTAAGAATTATTGCTATGATTTATTAAAATGTTAAGTGTAAACGTAATTTTTTATTTCAAGTTGATTTTATTAGACTTTCTTCTGTACATAACCATTTTATAGAGGTAGGTCGTACAGTACATTATTTTAAAAATAAATTTCCTTAAAATATTTTAAATAAGAATTCATGCCTATAGTGCAGAATTCTAAAGGTTAAAAATAAAAAGAATGTATACTGAAAAGTAGGTTTCCCTATTCCTATCCCCTAGATACTGAATTACATTCCGAAAGGCATCCATTGTTACTTCTTTTTGAGTATCCTTCCAGAGTTATGTTACATATATAAGCATAGTCCTACAAATAAACTTTGGTTTTTTTATACTGGCTTTTTTTTTTTTTGGGTATATTTTTTGGAGATTGCTTCATATCATTACTTAGAGAGCTGCGTTATTCTTTTTAAGTTGCATAGTAATCCATTGTATGACTACATTAAAATTTATTCAAGCCGTCTCCTGTTGTTGGACATTTAGATTTTTTCCAGACTTGCTAATACAGCATATAGTGAGTATCCCTGTACATGTTATTTAATTCATATGTGAATATATCAGTAGGATACATTTGTAAAGTGGAATTGCTAGATCAAAGATTATGAGCATTTAACATTTTAAGAGATGTTACAAATTGCCCTTCAGTGAGTTGTATCAGTTTTCATTCCCACTATGAAGTGTTATGAGAATGACTCTCTTTTTGGTTTATCTCCAACACAGAATTATGAAATATTTAAAATTTGTCCAGGGCCAGCTGAGTGGCTCAGTTGGTTACGAGCTCACTCAAGAGTGCGAGCTCTGCTCAACAGGGTCGCCGGTTCGATTCCCGGCCTGAGCTGAGCTGCTGCTGAGTTGCCAATAGATGGCAGGATGGCTCAGCTAAAAAAAAAAAATTAAAAAAAAAATTCCAAATCTCCTGGAGTAAAAATGGTGTTCATGTAGTTTTTTTTTTTTTAAAGATTTTTTATTGGGGAATTGAGATGGGAACAGTGCTGGGGAATTGGGGGAAGGGGAATAGACAAGTTGCTGTCATTTTGTTCTTCAGTCTAGTTGTGGAGGACGTTGCTTCACTGGCCCAAGTTGGCACCATCATTGCGCTCTTCCTGGGCGAGGCACATCATTTGCCGGCTTCTGGACAGCTGCTCACTGCGGCTAGCTCACGCTGGCTGCTGGCTACACACGGTAGCCAATGGCAACGCACTGCCACAGGGGCTGCAGCCTACGCTTTCGCTGGCGACTCAGGGCAGCCCAGCTCCAGGTTGAGCTGTTGTTCAGCATCTTAGCTGTGGAGGGCAGTGTCACTGGCCCTCATATGTGGGATCCGAACGGGGGCCCTCTGGCATCCCAAGCCAGTTCTTAACCATTGCGCCACTCGGCCGGCCCTGTTCATGTAGTTTTAATTTGCCTTTCTCATTTATCTTACAATGAGTGCGTTAAACATGTAATGCTTTTTGATGTTTTTTATTTTAACTTTATTTTTAAAATAAAGTATATTATACACGATACAAAAAGGTATATAATGAAAGTAAGTCTATTTCCTCTAAACCAAGATACTTAGCTTCTCTCCTGAGGCAACTACTATAAAACTCTTCCTTGAATATCATTCTAGAGATGTTCTGTGTCTTTATAAAAGCATATGTGTGTTTAAAATATTTTAATATTTTGCATTATTGTTTGTAAAAATGAAAACAAGCTGAATGTCTATCAGTAGAAGACACTGTAAAATACACTGTGTGAACATAATAAAATTCTGTAACCATGAAAAAGTGAAGTATTTCTGTGTGTATTGATAAGGAATAATCTCTAAGATTAAAAGAAAAATCAAGGTGCAGAACCATGTGTATACTCTCAATATGTTTAAAAATATATACATTAGGCATATATATTGTATATGCATAGAAAATTTCTCGACTAACAGACTAGAAACTTGACAGTGATTGCTTCTGAGAAGGGAAATGTAGTCTGGGATGGTAGAGGGACCTGTTTTCATTGCAAATATTTTTATGCTGTTAGAACTTTTGACTATGTGTATGCATTTCTCAGTTAATAAAAACTAGTTTTAAAAAAGGAATGTCTATATTCTAAAATAAAATAGATTGAAGTTTTTCTGATTGTAAAAGAAATACTTGTCCTTTACTAGATACTTTGGAAAACCCAAAATGATATCAAGAAAAACATTTTAAAAATCACTCATAATTCCACAATCCAGAAGATACATTTTAGTTAACATTTTGGTATATTTCCTTCTAAATATTTCTCTATTGTATACAGAGGGTGCCAAAAAATGTATACACATTTTAAGAAAGGAAAAAAACTATTAAAATTGTGATAATATATACTGGTAACAAAGATAAATACAAGTCACATTTGTCTTCTGCAATTACAAGAAGTCCTTAAAGTGGTTACCATCAGAGTCCAGACACTTCTGATTGCAGTGAACCACTGCTTGAGCAACGTTGACCAAAGTGTCCACTTGTATACATTTTTTTGGCACCCCCAGTATGTGTGATATATTTACTCACATACAAACTTAATGTGTATTAAAGAAAATGAAAAGGTTATATTTTAAAATGCCATACTATACATTTCTAATTTGTATAGCATTTTTGTTTTTTGTGCTCAGTACAGGTTCTTTAATGGAAGAGCCCTTTCTCCTTAGACTTAGAATACTGGATTATAGATTGATAGTTCTACTAGAGTTTTTGACATTCAAAATGGCATGCAGGAAAATATTTTAGTATGACTCTGAATTAACTTTTTTACCCCGCTGAAGCAATCAGTGTTTTATATAACAAGCCTATCCAGTCACTTTAGGATATGGTCATCAGAATCCTTACCGGTATTTATAGTTTTTACATTGGATTATCCTTGGGTCCTGTCCTGAGCTTCAGCTTCTCTCTGATAAGCCCTGAATTTATTGATGTTGTTAACCACCCTAAATGATCATTAAAAGACCTGTAATTTTTAAAGGAATATTGACTTTAAAAATTAATTTCATAACTTAATTACCTATGTGTTAATAAACAGGTGACCTTGGATAGGTTAGAAACGGAAGTTTTACGCAAAATAAAAAAAGCCTAGGATACTAATTAAAATGTCTTATTTAAATGTTTCCCAAAGTTTAAAATTCCAGGACAGGTGGTCTCTTGGCTGTTTTTTTGCACTAGTGAAGGTTAGTTCAGTGACTGTTTGACTCATGATTCCATCAGACTGCCTTATATTTTGATTAGCTCCTTCTCTTTCAGACTTTGGGTTTCTGAATTTTCCTAGGGAGGGATCACAGGGCCACCCAGGGAAGAATCTTCTAGTCACAGGGAAGTTGATAGAAATAGAAGAATAACAGTAAAGAAATAGGCATTTTTCTGTCTCTTATTTTCTGTGTCCACTTGGATTTGGACAAAGGTTTCTTCCTACTTGTGATTTTTCTGTTTTAACCAGATAAAGTTTTTATACTAAACTATCAGAGAAATATTAACGTTATTTAAGGCTTTAAATGCTGTGCCTTCAAGTAAGCAATATAAAATCTGTGGTTCAGTTCTTTGATATATTGATACTTTGAAAATTGTTTTGCATTCTTTTCATTGTTGCCAAGAAATTTCCAAAGTTTTTTATACATAAAGAGTTATCTGAAAGTGTGCTTATCACAAAATATTCTATTTTCAGATATTTAGTCTTGGATATTGCAGATAATCCAGTTGAAAATATAATACGTTTTTTTCCCATGGTAAGTATCAATATTTTAATATCATTTAAAATTTATTTATGGTTTGATCTTTTATTTGTGGTTCTAAAACTTTTAATTTGTTATGACTGAAAATTGTGGGATTATATGTATTTTTAAATTTATTAATTTTAAAGCCTTTTTATGATCTCCAAAAATTTGAGAAATCACAGTTTGAGTTTATTAAATTCAGATTAATTTTTAGCTCCTGTATAATTTTTTTAAGCTTGTAGTAGTTGTATTTGTAGTATTTTGGAAACTTTTGAATAACGTAATTTTTATTCATATAAATTAGCAGGAAATTATTTTCAATATATTTTGTTTCACTATATGTATGTATTTTATGCTTATGTTAATCCACGTTTAAGTATAACACATTGTCTTTGTCTTCAGACTAAAGAATTTATTGATGGGAGCTTACAAACTGGAGGTAAATAATACTTCCTTAACTAATGTTTATTTTTAGGTGTATATTTGTTTAGTTTTTAGTTAGTATTCCTCTTAAATGCAGGACATGGAACTTGTAATTATATATAATAGACTATTCCCAAATTTGTGTTTTCTTCACTTGTTTCATTTGCATAGGCTTTCTTAAAGATCCCTATAAAACTATCTTAAAATTCTGGGTGAGTTTTAAATCTCTTTAACCTAAAAGCCTGTTGTATTCTCTACACAGTTAGTATAAATGAATTGTAAAGATTTGAATATTAAGAATATCCAAGTGGTATGTATAAAATATAAAATGTTTAAGAAAAGATTTATTTTACTATGGTATAATACATGGTTTCAGTATATTTTAGCTGTTGAATCAGTTGTCTTTCTGTCAGAATAACTATTTCTTGTTTTTCAGGAAAAGTTCTTGTCCATGGAAATGCAGGGATCTCCAGGAGGTATGAAGTTAGAGATAATCTTTTTTTCTCTAGTATTTAATTAATGAGTTGTTCTGTTTTTTTTTCTAAATTTTTTTCCCCCTCTTCAGTGCTGCCTTTGTTATTGCATACATTATGGAAACATTTGGAATGAAGTACAGGTAAGACAGTATTCTGAAACCTAGCAACAATCTAATTCTTATTAAAATGAGGCTTCAGTGGAGACGGTTTGGGTTTGGGAGTTTGAAGTTAATATATTCTTTTGATGTTTGATTAAGTAGGCCCTTACACTCCATGCTCAGTCTCTTAACCTTTGTAGCTTGTCGACCTTATATACTTAGGCTAATACTTTGTGATTTTGTGGAGCTAACTGTTGTTATTTTAAGAAGCCAAGGTAGTTATAGTTAGAATAACCCACTACTTACTTAACTACTAAGGAATTGGTTAGTCTGAGTTTAAAAACACCTAGACACAGATGTTGCTTCCCTTGTTTACAAAGCTAATTTATTATGTTTTCCTTTAACAGTATTTGGGTGAAAAATTACCTAGGAATTGTTTTAGCTTCCTTTCACAATTCAGTATAGTCTCTCTTAGCCAAAATCATCTTTTCCAAGCACACTGCGTAGATTAAAAAAAGGGGTGGGGGGTTCATGAGCTTCTTGCCTTTAATGTGTATTGTTGTAAATTAGAAATCTTGTAATCATTGACACCTCCTTCTCTTTCACTCCTCATCTCCCAGACTGATCCATTATCAAATCCTGTCTGTTTTGTCCTAAAGTATACATTGAGTCCACCTCTTTATCTTGCTCTTCATCATTTAATCCCCCTAATCCAAGCTCCACTTGAGTCTCCCTTGGACTATTCCAGTAGTAGCCTTCTTACTTGTCTCCTGTACTTTTTCCTTCTCCAGTCTGTTCTGTTCTCCACACTACAGTCGGAACGATCTCTTCAAAAGACAAAATCTGATCTGATCTTACAGTCACCTTACCCCCAAAGCTCTTAATAATTCTTAATATGGCCAATGAAACTTAGCATGACATGCACCCACTAACCTCTCCATCTATATACCATGTTCTCTGTTACCCTCTCCATTTGAGCTATGTTCAGCATTGTATCCACATGCCTGACACAGACTAGACATTCAAATGTTTGTTTAGTTTTCTTTGATATCCTTTGTGTTGAAATTATAATGGAAAAGTTTGCTTAAAAGTATCAGTTCTTAAAGGAATATTATTTGAATACAAGTGCTTTGCTTATTTCATCAAAAAAGATTTAACAAGCTTTGAGAGACTTTTTAAATCTATTTTCTTTATTATTTGGTGTCTTGTCAGTAATAATATTAATAGTAAAAATAACTCCCATTTATTGGGTCTCTGTATGTTCCAGGTACTGTTCTAGGCACTTTAATATCATTTAAGCCTTACAACACAAGGCAGTAGACACACTTCTCATTTAACTAATGATAAAATTTTGAGCAGGTACTATGTGACAGATGCTATACAAGGTGCTTTACACTTATCTCCCATCTTCACAATAGCCCTTCAAGATAGGTTTTATTATAATCCCATTTTATAAATGAGAAAAATAAAGTTTAGAAAAGTTGAGCACTTTCCCCTAAAACACACAGCTGGTAAGCTGAGGGATTGTGATTAGTCTGATCATGGTGTCCGCTTTCCTACTACAACTCACTACCCTTCTGGAGTTCAAGCTGTATGATTATGATTTCCTATTTTAGGTAAATTTTTACATAAGTTCCTATTTTAGGTAAATTCTAGAAAAAATTGAGACTAATTTATGAAATAATAACAGGACCTTAATTTTCTTTTTCTGTTTTCAGAGATGCATTTGCTTATGTTCAAGAAAGAAGATTTTGTATTAATCCTAATGCTGGATTTGTTCATCAACTTCAGGTAACTTCTCTCTTCTTCCTCTTTAAAGTAGTCAAATAGGATAATTAAAATCTTATGTTCACATAATTTAGGTATAGAATTTACTTTGTAAATATTTAAAAATTGCCATCATCTAATGTGATTCTTCAAGTTTACATATCTAGTTAAAATAATTTTCTTAAAAGCTGCCTTTACCAAAAAAGGATTAAAGACAGTTAAATCTAAGGTAAAATAATTGATAAGAACTTCATTTTTTTTCTACACTTTCATCACACACAGACAGCATAAGAGTTTTGATTCTAAGTCTACTACATACAATAGCTTTATCTATTTTATATGCTTTATCTTTTCTATGTTGTTTCAGATTTTGTTGGTGCCTAAAAGCCACACTAAAAAAGACAATAAGATAAACCTGTTAATTATCTGACTGGACTAGTTTAATTTTTCCAAGAAGGAAAAGCATAGGTTGAAGAATGTGCTCTGGCTGATTGCATCAGTTCTGCAGGAATAAGTCTCGCATTGAGACATCAAGTGCATTACAATATGGGTTGTCTCAGTTACCATACTTGAAATTTTATCTCATTTTTGTTTTTAATTTACTTTTACTTCATTTAAAAGAGAAATAGTTGTATCTGTCTTCTTCACCTTTATATAAAATGTTTTTTATTCCTTCTTTATAATTATAGAATATAAAGCTAATTTATTCTTTGCCTTTTAACCACGTTCTGTAAAAAGTCTCTTTTTAATCTGATTTTTGTATTTGAAAGTGATACATATTAATGTTTAAAAAGTTTTAAATTCAACAATGCCTAAGAATACAATGAAAAATAAGTCTCCTTAATAGTATATCTTGAAGAGCTACATAAAACAGCATATATATAGTTCTACCTACAAAATATTTTTATACATATATGTACATCTATATGTGTATGTCATAATTTTATATGATCAGTTCCTTATACATGGACCTTTAGATTGTTTCTAGCCTTTCATGATTATAAACAATATTGGACAGAATAGTAGGTGCAAATATACAGGTGTGTATATACCTGTAAAATAATTGATCAAAGTGGAATTGCTGGGTCAGGGGGCATTTGGAATTGGATGTTGTCAAATTGACTCTAAAAAAGGCTGAAATTATGTAAACTTACACCACCAAGAAACAGGGTGTACCTCTTTCCCCATACCCTAATCAATACCAATAAGCAAAAATAGTTTAACAAACTTTTTGGTTATTGTCGTCATGGTATAAAAGTGGCAGCTCTTCATGGTTTGCCCGTAAGGTGGTTGGTCTTTTTCTCATTGGTTTGTAAGAGCTTTTTGTATATTAAGGGAATCTATCTTTAGTCAACTGATTTGAAATGCAATTTTTATTATATCCCAAATTCTGATCTATACTTGGGTCTGTTTCTGGACTTTGTATTCTGTTCCATCGATCTGCTTTTTGCAGCACCTGTATAAAACAATTTTAAACTATTACATGAATAATTTATGGTATCGCTCAAGATCCCCTGAATGTTCTTTCTAGAATTTTCCTGGCAAGCTCTTAACATTTATTTTTTGTTGTTAATTTTACTGGAAGGAGCCCTGTAGTAATTTTTAATAGTATCTCTACATTCACAGTTTAATTTTTAGTCTTCCATTCGAAGAATATGCTCCATTTATTTAAATCAACTTCTGTATCTTTTAGTGTTTTAAAGTTTCTCTGCACAGAATATATGCATTTCTTATGAAATTTATTCCTAGATATTTTTTTTGTTCCCATTATAAATGAAATTCTTTCAGTATGTTTTCTAATTGGTTATTTGTATAGGAAAGCTACTGGTTTTTATTAAGTTTTCAGTTGGCAACCTTATTAAATAAACTCTGTACTGATTCTAAAATAAAATTCTAGTTGACTATCTTAGCTTTTCTTCTCAAGTCATGATAATTTAGTCACTTTTCTAATTTTTTTCTTATTACTTTCTCATTGAATTTCATTCTATCAGAACAATAATAGTGGTGACAGTATCGTACAAACCTTATTATGCTCCAGTGACAGAGAACACATGCTGACTAGCAGTTCAGTGTGTGATAGATAACCCTAGTGCAAACTACTGACCTGCCGTGATTTCTAGTTTCATCTAGTTTCAATGTGAAATTGAAATAGGAATTTTAAGCCTGCATTTCTCTTAAAACAATATGGCACCAGATTTTCCGGTATAAACTAAGAATATCAATAATGTACACATTAACTGCTGTTTTGGGTATACAAGAATTTAAATGTATACCGAAATTAATTAAAATCTTTTTTAGGAATATGAAGCCATCTACCTAGCAAAATTAACAATACAGATGATGTCACCACTCCAGATAGAAAGGTCATTATCTGTTCATTCTGGTACCACAGGTAAGGATTTTTCATTTTTGAGAAAGTTGGGGAGAAAGATGATGGTATAAAAGGTAGAAGCAGCAGCATGTTTTGCTTGTTACAAATTACACTAAATAATTTAAGTTGTTCAGAAAACTATGAGTAAACTATTGAATTAAAGAAAATAATTTAAAATTTTAATTTTATAATGAATAAATATGTATTATCTGCTTTGTGCATAACACTGCCTAGTAAAAGTTAATCAGAATATGCTGGTTGTAAGATCAGATTTCTGCTTGGTTTAGTTTTAAGTCTTAAGTAGTATAACTGTGTTACAACTTAGAATAATAAGAGGAATCTGGAGATGGCGGCCCTAAATACACTTAGATGATCTAATTAAAAATAAACGTGGTTAATAAATGACAGCATTTCAAGTTACATAGAGTGATTAATGTCCACTACCTCAGTTTTCTCCTGCCATCAATATTTCAGTCCTACTCTCTTCCTTCCCTATTTCAGAGAGCTCCTCTTTCCCATTTTTCAAAGTTAATGATTTGAGCACACTCTCAAAATCTTTTAACTTTTACCTTCCTTCTCTAAGAACTTGTTACCCTTTTTTTTTTTTCTTTTTACTCTACTAGAACACTCATGGAGTTTACTTATTTATGGTTTTTCTCTCCCAAAGTTCATTTCGATCTGTCTCATGAGAGCGGAAGAGCAGGTTACATACATACCTTAGTGTTGGACCTAGAAATTGAGCACTGGTGATCTGGTCCACAAGTCCAGCACTCTTCACTACATTGCACTGCCTGTAGTGATAATGCTATATATATCCAGCCCTCAGGAACAACTTCCCAGTTGTCATTGGCTCTTTTCTTTTCCTTAGCTACCTCCATCTAGTCATTCCCAATTCCGCGAGGATCTGTTTCCTCGGTACCTTTAAAATTCATTCCCTCTTTTATAGTACCCTAATCTCAATCTACTTCAGGCCCAGATTGGCCTCCTATCCAAACTCTTGTTAGTTGGTTTGTTCTGTACATTATGGCCAGACTTATTTTCATTAAAGATAGTTTTAATTGTGATTATTTTTCCTATACAAAAACCTCCACTGGCTTAATTCCTATAGAAGAAAACAGGTAGTAATTAAAGACCCTTCTGAGCTTATTTGTATCTTTCACTGTTCCTCTTTATATATGCACTCCAGAAAACTGAACTGATGGTTTCCTGTGTGTGTCTTCTTTTCTCCACATAGAAAGCATTGCATTCAGCTATTCTTATAAATTTAGTTCAGGTGTCATCTCAAGAAAAGGTTGAGCCCGTCATTTGGAACTTCTATAGAGCTTTGTATCTCCTCACTTTCTGCCTTGCATTGGTTATTTGTCTCTTACCTTCCTTAGTAGAATGCAACTGCAGTACCTCATCTGAAACTCAGTTCAGCAGCTGTATTTAGCCCTCATGACTGACATACCGTATTTTCTTTTTTATTCCAGTGCCTTAATATTATATTTCTGTCCTTATTTGATTAATTTTACAGTGACACTTTAGTTTCCTGTTGGAATCTGTCTTCTGAATTAACATTATTACTGTGTTTTAGCACAACCTTTAGGGCATAAATTTAAGGCCATGCCATCGTTAGCCAGATAACACAGCACCGCTTTACAAGTTTAATTGTTCCCTAAAATTTTCCTCCCATTATCTCTTTATGGAGGGATAATCTGCGTTATTTGGGTAATTCATAAGAAAACAATTTACTACAGTTTGCTAAACATCTAGTCATGGAATTTTCATAGTGCATATACATGGTAACACTGCATTAAAAATGAAACTTTTACTAGCTGTAACACTAAACAAGTGAATTTATTTAAGTTCCCATTATATGTTATGTTCATGCAATAAATTTTAGGCAGTTTGAAGAGAACACATGAAGAAGATGATGATTTTGGAAGCATGCAAGTGGCGACTGCACAGAATGGCTGACTCAACAGCAACATTATAGAGGATGTGAATTCTATTTGGGAAGGAGAAAATACTAGAGACAATAATAACGTAAAATGGTAAAAACACAAGTAGTTTCTATTCAATTTTATGTTGCTTCCAGACATGTTTCTCTACAACTTGTTGAGCAACATTTTAAGAAGATGTTGGACTTCCACAATAGATGGCACTCATGGTTTTACTTTTTTTTTTTTTTTTAAACACTTTACAGTTTTATTATAAACCAAGAATTTTGGACTTGCAAAGAGGTATTATTGCAATAATGCACTTTTCATACTTGAAATTTATTTGTATGATATAAAGTTATTACTTTAAACAAAATGCAAGTTAGGGGGATTTGTTTATAAAATCTGGGTAATTTATAACAAAAGAATTTCCTAAAGTTTGCTAAAAATTCATTGTGTTCTATAGATTACATTAAATAATTTTGCAGTTCGATTTTATGATGGAGCCTCTTACAGAAACATTAAAAAAAATGCAGGAATCTGCCACATTTCTTTTTTAGTATAATTAAGTAGCTTAATTACCGTTCTTCAAAACCTCTCAATCTCTTATTACTAATCTTTAAATCATGACAGCCAACTTATCCTTACTTTAACACCATCCAAGTATTGCTTCCTTTCCTATTACCTTCCTAATTTGTTTAGTCTATAGAAAAAAAGTTGAATGAACAAACGATGTTTTGCTTTATATATACCAGATGCTCAAAAAACAAGGAGTGTTTTAGATTTTCAAGTGACTTTCCTTTTTGCATTTCTTGAAAGCCAAATGTTGTGTGTTCTTTTTAGAGTTGCTTAGCCCGTTTTTTTCCTTTGTTCAAAATGGTTTTAAATAGAATAAACCATTGTAGCACTATTTTTTTTTCTAAATGACGCCCTAAAAAGTGCCTTGCATCGTTAAAAATAATAAAACTAAATCCTCATGACCTATATAAATTAGTATGTAGAATGAAAAGTTTTTAACACTTTTCTGTAATTTTTTTTAAACTATAAATTAGTTTAAACTGAAAGCCTGAGGCTTGAAGAAACCTCAGTAAATTATTTGGAAATATTTACTCCATTTTTTGTTGTCTTAATGATTCTGTGAGGTTGTTGTGGCTCAGACAGCAGCTTTTCTTTGAAGATTGAATTTATTGGGGAAAGTGGTTTGTGGGACTTTAGTTTACTTTAAACTAGTGTTTTAGTCAGTTCTTTACATTGAGTTAATCCAAATTTCCCCCATAAGTTGTATTAGCAAAGTCACTTTATGGATCCTTCTTTCTCCATATATATATATATGGTGGTAAGAAAAACAGTTTTGCTATTTTAAATATGATGTGAGGGAGGTGAGGAGTGTTTTTAACTTTTTATAGTTGATGATTTAGATTAGCACAAACAAAATTCTGTCTCCCTTTTCTCAGTCCTCTTTTGAGGTGCTTTACTGATGGGAATGATTTCCATGTTCCCTTGGTACCAAGAGGTACTATCCAAGGTAACCTATTACATCAAGTTACTTGCTTGGCTTTCCTCCCTAAAATGTAATAATACAGTAAAAGCTTGTTTTATCCAGCCTAGCAGGAGAGTAGAACTAAATTAAAATTGCTGTGTTGTTAATCCCTGTTGACCCAGGTGGGGCGATCCCTCTTCTGATTTCCCTTGCCTTTCTCGTTTACCACCATGAAAAGAGCTTATTGGTAATCCCATTGTGGTCTAGTATTCTGTTGTGATTAGGTCATTTGGTGTGCTCGTCTAGTCAAGATTTGCATTGAATGTTCAGAAATTCCAGCTGGTAAAGTGCCAGATAACACAGCTTTCCTGTATATAGATCACTATTGGATAAGTCAGCGAAGATCTCTCTTGTAATCTAATAATCTATGATACTACTCTCAGCAAAAACTGTTTCAAAGAATAGTATATTTTGGTTTTAAAATGAGGCAGTTAACATTTTTTAAATTAGTTTAAGTATACATATGCTCTCTAGTAGTCTGGCCAAAAATACAGATTGTTATTTATTTATAGCTGGTAATTCTCCACTTTTTCTAACCACTATGATTTGTATGTTGTCACTAAAGTGCCTGCCCAGCACTATATATTAGACTGTCTCTCACAAAACACTAGGAAAAGGGACTGTCATCTTAAGTACAGTAGTAATGTGGACAAAACATGTTCTTTATTTCACATAAGAACATTGCAAGTTTGTTTTATCTTGGATCCATTCTTCCGCCTAATGTTCAACTAGTTCTTCTGGTAGCTGTTCCTATTCTTCCTTCTGTTTGGTTCCATTTCTGTAATTCCTTTCTTTCCATTGATGTTTTATGATCGTTAATTACAGTACATTTAACCAATCATGATTTATTTTCTAGAATATTTGAATGTATGAATGACATAGCACCCAATTTTAAACATTAAATATTTAATCTGGGCACAGAATTTAAAGTGAAATTGCATCAAAACAGGACAGCTGCTTTACTGTCCATTTTGAAAATATGAAACTTAAATATTGAAAATATTCAAACTGGAATGGCAGTATTCTTACCTCCTAATTTCAGTTAATTGGTTTATGTTATTATTTTTTTAATCTATTAGATGTTTAAACAGCAGTTACTTTTGTTTATTTGTATCTACTCTATGGTGAAAATGTGAAACAGTGATAACTTTTGCTACAAACTCTCAACCACTTAACTTTTAGAGCAGAATATATATTGGGGGGATTTTGTGCTTCATCTGATTTTAGCAGTAATGTCAGAAAATGTTAAGCATGTCCTTTTTAAGAAAATGTAAGGTTTCTAATTGTCTTATTACCATGGTAATTCAAGTGAATTAGAAGTATTTAACTGCAATCTTGAATTATAAAGTTGGGATGTCCGTACACACGTGTGTGTGTGTAGAGACACACACACACACACACACACACACACACACATCAGGATCTCAACTTGATGTAAAGTAAATGAGCAGTTACCTGGCGGATTTTTTTTTTTAATAACTGGCTTAATCCATAATTCCATACAAACTTAGTTTCACTTCAGTATTTACTTTATCTTTGTCCATTCAACAATGCTCCAAAAAGGAAATGTTGGGAAATAGCTGAGAATTACTAAAAGATTTTATTTTTTTTATTGGTTAGAAAAATATGTTTCTAGGGTCTTTGAATGCTGGATTTTTTTTGTCTTACCCATCCATGGCAGCTAAAACAAAAATCACTCAAAATATTCAGGTTTACATGTTAGCTCTCTTTTATAGGGAGCTGCCATACCTCACAGTTCAAAGTGTATTCTGTAGATCAGTAACATTATACTGACATGTAATTGCAATTTACTATGCAGCAAAAATAATTCAAGAAAAATAACCTACAGTGTCTACTTACCTTTGTATAGACAATTGCTTAAGTTACTCTGCTTTTAACATTTGTACTTGGATAAAATGCTTATGTATGTATAGGAATGTCACAGTGCAAGATGCTGCTAGCCCAGACACAAAGTATTAAAATTATTTTGTGAAGATTGGTGGTTGTATTAAAACTGTTGTGCCATTATACCTCAAAAGGATTGAAAAGCTCATTTATACTGCTTATGCCTCAGAACTTCTTTACTTAGATTATTGGCTTCTAGGTAGAAGTAACCTAGTTTCACTCCCACAGATTAAGGATGATAGGTGAACGCTGAATATTGATAAGCACTTAAGAGCACCTTCCAAAACACTGGTCACACACACACAAAAATATGGCCAGTTATCCATGCAAAGCCCAAATTTCAGCTCAAGTATATTGTTAAGGATTAGTTGATCAAGTTTAGAGTTGGAAGTGAGGAAATTCAATTCATGCCTGAAGGAAAGGGTAGGTAATCCATAGAAGTTTCCAGCCCATTAAAAAAATACTTCTTGCTTTTACAGTACCCTCTTCCCCATTAGCCTACCTACATACTATTCTTCATCAAATGTAAGATGCCATCACTACACAATTATTTTAGATACCACTAAAAGGCAAAATATTGCTGAATAAACTATGACAAGCCCTTGATCATAAAATGCACATCTTAGAATCAATGAAATATGAATATACAGAATATATGGAGCACAATAAAAATCACAACTGCCATTTCATTATACCTTTTCAAAAGAAACTGTGAATATAGTTCACATGTTTTATGCAACTATTTTTTGTACTCAAGTCTACTCGCAATATAGTTTAGAAAATCATAAACATACTCTGGTTAACTAAAGCTAAATACAGATCACCATTTTCCTCGATGACAGAATTTTTATATACTATATCTTACCTGTAATTATTTCTTGTAGGGGAGATTTAAGATAAGACCTAAGAACACTATTTAAAGAAATTTATATAAATACCAACCTTGTAGGTAGTTTTATTTGATTGTTCAGTGGTAAGAAAAATAATAAAGCATTTAATTTTCCCTTTTATTAGGCTTATTTTTAACATGGGTTTTTAATTACCAGAGTGTATGTAATAAAGTTACTGTCACAACAAGGTCGTAGGACTCCAGTAAAGGCAAAACTAGCTTTGCTGCTTTCACTACAGACACATCAATTCACCTGCATACATCATCATGCACCCTCGACTGGTGAAGGGTTTCTATGGTTTTAGAAAGCCAACTTTAACTTAACTACATGGAGGGAAATCCGGAATCCAGTTGAGGAAGGTATGAGTCAAAGGGATGAGAAATAGGTGGTCTTTACTTTTCAAGTTCATTTTACAAAGAGTACACAAAACTAATTTTATTAATTATGACTTGACCTAGTAGAGTTCAATAGAAGACTCAAGGAAAGCACAGACAACATTAGGATTCTAACAAAAGACTATTCATCATATGAACAGGTTTAATGAAACATGGAATGCAAAAGATTAGAATAGAACCATTATTAATAAAGTATCTAATTCCTACTTCAACTTAAATAATTAAATAAATATAGTCAAAGCAGGATAGTAACCAGAATACCATTATAATCACATTAAATAGAAAAGCTTCTGTCAACATTTTAAGAATGTAACAAATACAGTATGATACGTTTTTAAATATTCCACTCAATTTTGTAATCGATTTTTCATAAAAATGTTCCTCAGAATAGAGGCTTCAGACACCCATGAAAAAATCAGAAATCAGGTTAGAAATACATAATATGCCAGGACTTGCTAATTCACTATTAAAAAGTACCTTGTTTTGCTCTTACGTATTTTAAACAAATGAGTAATTATTATAGTTCACATACAAGACAGGTGGTGCTTTATCTACATTAGAACTATGTATAACTTTTAGATGTACGTACATTTGTTTCACTTTGAACCATGTCACATTTTTACAAGTTAGTTTTCATTTCTACTTTAAAAGGCTGACCAGGTTATTTGCCAATACAGTAGTAGGATCAACAAATGTTGGACTGTATTACATATATATAACTTATCCGATTTCAACTAATATATGGGAAATTACACATCCCTAATTGGTATTTAGATGTTTCTTTGAAACAAAAATAATTTTATGAATGTGACAAGAAACAGCCTTATTCATTGTGTGCTTTTTTAAAAATAAGCAGTACAGACAGCAAATACATAACTCCTTACTACCTATACTCTACCAAGAAATGAAGCCCAACTTTAGAAAAATACAATGCAAGAAAAGATTCAAGTTAAAAATATACTCCTTTGGTTAAAAATCATCCTCTTTATAATATTTGTTTGTAATCTAAACTCACAGCATGTCCCACCAACCCAAAGTAATCTAATGTCATTAATATTTATTGTATACAATGTTTTTTTACAATCCAGTATCTATAGAGGTCACTAGGTTGCAGCAAAATATTTTACCTCTAGGAAGGATATATAGCCTTCTTGCATTAGCTCCTTCAACAAATGTCTTTCTTAAAAGATTTTTACTTTAAAAACCTCTGACACATGTAGTTTTCTTCAGATACTGTATATCCAAACTTTTTATAGAAACCAACATTTTGTGGTAGACATTCAAGGGTAATCTTATAACAGTTCAGTTTCTTGCTTAGCAAAGTAAGGGTTGATAATAACCTGGAATTTTAAAAAAGGGAGGGGAAGGGCATAGAGCATTTGTTAATAAAAATGGATTTTAATAACAATATGAATGAATATTACATGAAATAAAATTTCAAATTTATATTAGAAATAGGTTTAGGTCATGGCCTTTCACACTGTAAGTAGATAATCATTTAAATCACCCAAAACATTTTAGTTTGTTTCAAATATACTTTGATAATCTCCAGCCTGTTAATAAATAGGGCAAATACTAAACACCCTAACCCTCTTTAAAAATAAGTTTTAAGATTATTGTTAACACTAAAGACTGTCAACCTTTTAAAAAATATGGCCTAGGTTATTATTTTTTTTTCTAAATTCTTTCAAACTACTTAGGAACAGTCAACATTCCCAAATAAAATGGATAAATAATAGCTTTGTTCCTTATTGTTTTTTAAAGCTACTTTAGTATTTGTGACAGTATCTATTAGATTAACTCTGTATTGGTCTAATATGAAGGAGAAACAAAGCAAAAAAGTATACATCCTTTACAAATCCTTAAAGAACCCAAATCCAGTATGTTATTCTAACTGCCTTAGAGGTAAAAAAAAAACCAAACAAACAAAACTAAAAAAGATCTACAAAAATTTACCTGAAGTGTTTTCTCATGTTTGCATAGACTTAAAAATCATATCAATTTGAAGACAGAACATCTTGGTTGAAGTTATAAAATTATGAGTTATGACTAAGTGAAGTGGACTAGAATACTAGAAATTGGTCTGTTTTGTTCACTGATGTATCCCAAACACCTAATACAGTATCTGGCACATACGTGCTTAATATTTATTAAGTGAATTCTTTAAAACTCAGAAGAGATAATATTAAAAAGCAAGTTCCATCTTACAAAATAGGCAATAAGCCTATGAGACTTATTTACATTTATTTTAAGTTTTAGGTAAATGTATAGAGGATTAAACCGTGAAGGCTGTTTTAGTATACAGGGGTGCCAAAAAAATGAATACATGACTTGTATTCATCTTTTGTTATCAGTATAATTACAATTTTAATACAGTTTTTTCCTTTCTTAAAATGTGTATACATTTTTTTGGCACCTTCTGTATATGTTTCTAAAACTTGTGAGACTGAGAACATTTCCTTTGTTTTTAAATATGACAAATGGGGAAATCACTTGACTCGGCCAAAACTTTGTTTTCTACTAGTATGAGAATACTACTACTAAAAGTTAGTAACTTAAACATATTATTGCCTGTAAAATAGTATACTTCCAATTTCCAAACTATGGTAAAACTAGTATAAAAATACTTTTATTTCTTCATTAATTTCAGTCTAAGCTGTAGAGTGAGAATGGGTTCATAATTAATGAGGCCTAAAAAGAACTTCAAACAGGAAGACATGTTTAACAAGTATTTTGGCAAAAAGCTGTAAATTGAAAGACAAAGAGCATCTGATTTATCCAGGGTTACCTTGTTTCTGCCTACTTACAATTTGCCAAGCTGCTTTCCTCTGCATTCATCACTAACAACAACATCTTCTACTCTTCCTCTCTGAAAATATTTACAATATTTAAAGGACTAAGCATGTAGTTTTGTTTTTAGCTAAGTCAACAAGTGATGGTTGGTAAAAATTCATTGACAAAAATAAATGTTTTATAAATTTGAGCTTAACAAAAACCAAAATGCAAGCATTTTTTACTTATTATTATATAGGAAATAATATAATGAATCAACTTGTGGTCTAATCTTGTTTTGTCTATATCCTGAACCTCCCCACCCCCTTGTTTTAAAGCAAACCTCAGAGGCCCCATCACCAAAATGTAATCTTGTCATGAATGTACTATATCCACCATCCTAACTCCTTGCCTAATAGCAATTTATTTTAGACATCCAGATACAATTTATTAATTTCTAGTACAGAAACCCTATCAAAATTCATACCTCGCGAAAAAGATTCCAGATGTTCCTATCTTATTCTCAGTAGATTACCTAGGCTTTCTTTACTATTCCTTATGAGTCATGAGGAGTAAGGGGCTCTACAGGCATAAGAAATGTCACACTTAGAATATAGTATTCTGAACCCTTTATCACTTGGAAACTGATGGGAATTTGTGTTAGTGTAGTATATTAAAAGTAATGTTTTTCAAAAAAACAACATTAAGTATTCTAAACATTACTGCCAAATTTCTTGATGCTAACTTGGTTTCTCTATGACTATACCAAATCTAATACCTTACAGAACAATTTTTAGCAAACAATTCATACTGTTAATACAGTTTCTTCCTCATAACTTAGGGCAACATAGCTCTCATTTTATAATGAAAAGCAATGAGAAAAGAGATTTGTCTGATGGAAACTCAACGTAGGTTTTGCTAGAAAACACCTGTCCATTATAGCTTATAGGCATTAATGTGAACACATACCTTAGCACAGGAATGGGTGAATTTATGTTCTATTATCAGAGTTGCTGTAGCAACAATCTGTCCTAAAGTCACATCTTCCACAACTGTAACATAATAATCCCCAGATTTCTTCATGTGCTCAAAAGATTCTGTGGAAATTGAAAAACAGTGTTATGTGGCAGACATTAAACTTTATTGAGTACCATAAAAATACTAGGATTAACTAACTTCATTATTGAATACTTAAATCTATTTTACCATAGTAACTTATATATAATACTTTGTGTCTAAGAAAATAATAAAAATGACCAAGTACAGTAATACCTTGGTTTGCAAGCATAATTCGTTCCAGAAACAAACTACTCATACTGCAAGACAGCACTCGTTTACCACGTTAAAATGTATTAGAAATGTTTGCTCGTCTTGTGGAACACTCGCAAACCACATTTCTCGCAATCCAAGGTTTTACTGTAGTTGAAATGTCAACAATCAATAAATTGGAATATAACTCAAACATTTTAAAAATACGTAGCAAAGTAATTAATACAGCTATTTTAGATGAACAGCACTTATAATACAAATAAATTATAACACAAATAAATCTGTGACAAATGTAACAGTTACTTTAAATCAATTTCTTCAACTTTTACACTCAACAGATACCTGAATAGAGCAAAACTGCAAATTTTAACAAGAGAATGTTAACATGGCTCCATTCTCTAGGTTTTAGTCTTTGGTTTCAAAATATTTTCACAAAAGTAGTTTCCAGTTTTCCCCTTGTGATCTCAAGTGTTTCATGATTACATGACTTGCTTTTTTAGAAATTAGAATTGGTTTTGTTTTTTTGTTTTTTTTTATTTTTTATTGTGAAATACACGTTTTTTAGAATTAGTTTCAGCTGTACAACACAGTGCAATAGTTGTACTTTTTACCCCTCGAGGTGACAACCATCCCTCCCCCAATCCGCCACCCCACTTCCCCCCAATATCATACATATCTATTACAATTCCCTTGACTCCACTCCCACACTATACTCCATGTCCCATGACTATATATATATATATATATATATATATTCACTATAGTTGACATACAATATTATACAACATAAGCTTCAGGTGTACAGTGCAATGATCAAGCCTCTACCCAATCCATGATGCGGTCTCCCTAGCAAGACATGTGACCATCTGACACTCTACAAAATATTTACAACATTATTAATTATATTCCTCGAACTGTCTTTCATGTCCCTGTGGCAATATTGTAGTTATGTATTTATGCTGTCTAATCCCTTCCCCTTCTCCCTCATCCCCACCCTCTCCCAACTAGCAGCCATCAGTTGTTCCTCTATATCTCTGAGACCACTTCTGTTTACTTTGCTTGTTTATTCAGTTTTTTAGATTCCACATGTAAGTGAGATCATATGGTATTTGTCTTTCTCCGACTGACTTATTTCACTTAACATAATAGTCTCTAGGTCCATCCATATTGTTGCAAATGGTACGATTTCATTCTTCTTTACAGCTGAGTAATATTCCATTGTATAAATGTACCACAGTTTCTTAATCCAGTCATCTACCGATGGGCATTTCGGTTGTTTCCAAGTCTTGGCTATTGTGAATAGCGCTGCAGTAAACATAGGGGTACATATATTTTTTCGAATTAGCGTCTTGGGTTTCTCTGGATAGATAACCAAGAGTGGAATTGCTGGGTCATATGGTAGTTCCATTTCCAGTTTTTTGAGACACCTCCATACTGATTTCCACTAATAGCTGCACCAATCTGCAGTCCCACCAACAGTGCACCAGGGTTCCCTTTTCTCCACAGCCTCACCAGCACTTGTTGTTTGTTGATTTATTGATGATAGCCATTCTGACTGGATAGAATTGTTTTTTTTCCTTTGAAAGCACCTTGTGAAACAGGTGAAAAATAGGTCTCCATTTCCAAGTAATTTTCCCCACATTACATAGCAAATAGGAGCAAAGACAGAATAAGTACTTTCAAACTTGATTTTTAGTACTTATATTGCTGAAATAACATGGTTTCTCATCTAATCTGATACGCATGCAAAGAAGAATTCAGGAATAAAAACAGCCTAACAGTCTCGTTCTAAATAGGGGTCTGGAGTAGGAAGAAATAAATTCAATGTAGAAAAACAATGAGAATCAGGAATTGATGATCTTCAACTCAGGAGGGTGAGACAGAGAACAAAATACAACAAAATTACCTATTGAAGGAAATGAAGAAATTATAGAAAATATGAAATGACTGTTAGAGCACTGCATGGAGTCAGGAAGGTTCTGATTCTTTCCTTACCAATAACTATTGGGTCATCGGGAAAGTCATGACATATTTTTCTATGTTTTTCCATGCAAAAATGTGTCATGACTTTCCCGACGACCCAATACTTGTGATCCTGGGTGAGTCATTTGACCATTTTTTTTTTTTCCTTTTAGCTGAACCATCCTGCCACCTGTTGGCAGCTCAGCTCGGGCATCGAACTGCTGTTGCTCAGAGCTCAAACTCTTGAGCGAGCTCTTAACCAACTGAGCCACTCGGCCAGCCCACATTTGACCATTCTTGATTTCCATTCACTTATATATATTAAGGGGTAGGGAGGTTTAACTGTAAAATAACCTGCCAATCTTAAAATTCAATATAAGCAAACAAAATACATACAATATATTCTCTTACATCTTTGATTTAGTGATTACATTTCTGTGAATAACCTAACCACATGAAGAAATAACTACAATAAAACACAATCTCTAGAGCTGCTACCTAGGTTCTATGCTACAGTAATTATCTAAAAGTAGTATTTTACAAAACATGGTAATGACTACATTTGGATTCTAAAACAGTTTAGCCATGTTAAACATTTAAATAAGAAAATAGACAATTTGGACTTCTAGTCAAGATGGCAGAGTTGGTAAACGCTGTGCTTATCTCTTCCCATGACCACATCAAAATTACAACTAAATTACAGAACCACCACCCTTGAGAACTACCTGAAGACTAGTTGAACAGAAGTCCTATAACTAAGGATATAAAGAAGCCACATAGAGAATGGTAGGAGGGTTAGAGACGCAAAATGGGCTGGTCCCACATCCAAGTGTGGCGGTTAAGAATTGGGAGGAGTGTGTTGGCTACAGAGGTACCCCCTGAGGAGCAAGAGGTTCCAGCCCCACACAAGGCTCCCCAGCCCAGAGCACCAGTGCCAGTAAGGAGTTCCCACAATAGCTGGCTGTGAAAATCAGCAGGGACTCAGTCTGAGTGAGATGGAGGGCTGCTGGAGACTCAGGCGTCCATTTACAGGTCCAGAGTACAGACTCACAAATAGTTGCCTTAAGCTCCAGAGAAGGGATTGCAGCTTGAAGAGCACCAGGCACCTACAAGGAGGAACTGAATTGTCTGGCTTCAAGCAGAGGGCTGGAGGGGCAGCTCTTTCTGCATTGTTCCTTGTTGAGCTCTCCTCCCACACTGCTGGCAGGCCCAGGTAGGCACCAAATCTTAGTCTCCATCCACCTGGCTAACACTGTTCTTGTCCCACCCTGGTGATTCTCAGAGACCCCCACTCCATCCAAATGACCCACCTGGTCTGAACCTCTTTCAGATGCTAATCCATGCAGACAGCTAACCTGGGCCCACATTGTGGGCTTTCCTAAAAATATATCAAAGGTCCCCAACCAAGCAGCAGCTGGCCTTGGTGTGCCCTGTACCTTTTGATAAACAGCCCAAAGCCTAACACTAGTGGAAACCAGCCTCGGTTCGCAGCATAGCCTCTCCCAGGTTCTCCAAGCCCAGCATAGGCAGCTACTGACCTAGCCTGTACTAAGAGGCCCCAGAACCAACCAACCTGGTGGTTCGCTTCAGGCAACACCACAGCACCACTCAGCACCACAAATGACACACCCAGAGGGTGGACTCGGCAGTTACCAGAGCCCCGCTAAAGCGAATCCCCCTCCATGGGGTCCACCCCTGTACAGCATAATGTCTGCTGTGGTCACAATAGTCAGCCTGAAGGTCAGGCCCACCCACTGACAGGCCAACTGCCATCAAAGCTCAACTACAGCAGGAGGGCACACAAAGCCCACAAAAGGGACACCCATGGAGCACCTGGCTTAGATGATCCAGGGACACTGCCGCTGGGCCTCCAGGACACCTACTACATAAAGCCACTCTGCCAAGACTGAGACACAGCAGATCTACCTAATACATAGAAACAAAACAAGGCAGAAGCGAAAATGAGACAAACATGTCCCAAATGAAAGAACAGGAAAATACTCCAGAAAAGGAACTAAACAAAATGGAGGCAAGCAATCTACCAGATGCAAATTCAAAACACTGGTTGTTGGGCTGGCTGAGTGGCGCATTGGTTAAGAGCTGGCTTGGGATGCCAGAGGGCCCCAGTTCGGATCCCACATATGAGGGCCAGTTACACTGCCCTCTACAGCTAAAATGCTGAACAAATGCTCAACTTGGAACTGGGCTGCCATGAGTCACCTCACAGCGTAGGCTGCAACCCCTGCTGCAGAGGGTTGCCATGGGCTACCGTGTGTAGCCAGCGTGAACGGCCAGCAGCCGCAGTGAGCGGCCGTTCAGAAGCCAGCAACTGATCTGCCTCGCCTGGGAAGAACGCAGTGGTGGTGCCAAATTGGGCCAGTGCCTCCACAACTAGACTCCACAACTAGACTAAAAAACAAAAACGACAGCAACTTGTCTGTTCCCCTTCCCCCGATTCCCCAGCGCTGTTCCCATCCCTCAATTCCCCAACTAAAAAAAAATGTTAAAAAAATAAAAAAACACTGGTTGTTATAAGGATGGTCAATGAACTAAGGAGAAGAACAGATGATCTCAGTGAGAACTTCAAAGAGGAAACAAAAAAAAGGAGATAGAAAACATAATGAACCTGTAAGAAATGAAGAACACAGGAACTGAAGAATCAATACCAGATTAGATGAAGCAGAGGACTGAATCAGTGATTTGGAAGACAAGGTAGTAGAAAACACCCAATCAGAACACCAAAAAGAAAAAGTGGAAAAAAAAAAAAAGGATAGTTTAAGGGGCCTCTGGAACAACATCAATTGTAACAACATTCACATCACAGGAGTACCAGAAAGAGAAGAAAGAGAGCAGGGTATTGAAAAAATATTTGAAGAAATAATGACGGAAAACTTCCCTATCCCGGTCAAGGAAATAGACATACAAGCCCAGGAAGTGTAGAGTCCCAGACAAGATGAACCCAAAGAGGCCAACACCAAGACATGTCATAATTAAAATGCCAAAGATTAAAGACAGAGAATCTTAAAAGCAGCAAGAGAAAAGCAGTTAGTTACCTACAAGGGAGCCCCCATACAACTGTCAGCTGATTTCTCAACAGAAACTTTGCAGGTAAGAAGGGGCTGGCACAAAATATTCAAAATGATGAAAAGCAAGGACCTACAGTCAAGATTACTCTACCCAGCAAGTCTATAGTTTAGATTCAAAGGAGAGATAAAGAGCTTCCCAGACAAGAAAAAGTTAAAGCAGTTAATAACCAACAAACCAGTATTAGAAGAAATGTTAAAGGGACTTCTTTTAAGAAGAAAAAATAATATCAATAATAAAATTGTAATAACTACATACCTATCAATAATTATTTTAAATGTAAATAGATTAAATGTTCCAGTCAAAAGACAGGGTAGCTGAATGGATAAGAAAACAAGATCCAAGAGCCCATCAAAAGACATGGGGATAAAGAAGATGTGGTACATATATACAATGGAATATTACTTGGACATAAAAAATGAAATTTTACCTTTGTTATAACATGGATAGCCCCAGAGGGTATTATGCTAAGTGAAATAAGTCAGACAGAGAAAGATGAATACCGTAAGATTTCACTTATATGTGTAATCTAAAAAACAAAATAAATGAACAAGCAAAATGTACAAACTCATAAATACAGAGAACAAACAGATGGTTGTAAGCTGGGAGGGGACTTGGGGAGCTGGGTGAGAAAGGAGAGGGATTAAGAAGTACAAATTGGCAGTTACAAAACAGTCACCAGGAGGATGTAAAGAACAGTTTAGGGAATATAGTCAATAATATTGTAATAACTATACATGGTGTCAGGGATCACTTTGTAAGTTATATAAATGTCTAACCACTAATCTGTACACCTGAAATTAATATAATATTGAATGTCAACTATAATTGAAAAAAAATTTTTTTAAAGAGACAAAAAATAGCTAATTTATCATTTGAATAATTTCCAGCTATTTGAACAAAAACACATGTATTCTATATTGAACACAGCTCTAAACAAAAATAAAATCATGTTTCCCTTTATTTCTTTTCATTCAGGAAAAAGACGCTGTAGTACTTACTCATAAATTGTTCAGGGTTGACAACTCCAGTCTCTGTCAGCTGACTTAGTACCTTAAAAAAACCTAGTTTTGCAAAAACAGATTTCAAGTCATGAGAAGAGCAAATGAAAGATATATCAAATGAAGCAATATGTGAAATAAGTGGGTGCGATTATGGGCAATTATTTTTTCAAAATTATCTAATGAATCATTTTAAAATTATTATTTGAAAAGATTAAACTGAAACCCATTATTCTTTCTATAATCATTACATAAAACAAAGAATAGGTTTTACTAATATTTTTGCCTACATAATATTTTTAGAATAGTGCCAACCTTAATATTTACAGAACCAGCATGTATATTTTTCCATGTAATTTGCATTAAATTCAATGGAAGGAATGCCTAATTTTCCCAACTATGTACTTTGATTTTACTTAAAAATGCAAGATTCTCAATGACCAAATATAATACTATACAAAATATAATTGTTGAGACTACAATTTTTAAAGGTTCCTGATTAATTTCAGTAATGTTATCTTAATGTGAACAGCACATTTTAGAACTTTGATAATCTTAATTTCTACAAACTCAATGATTAATTTGACCAAAATTATTTTCTTCAGATTTTGTAACAAATAGAAAACTGTAAAAAGTTGATTTTTTATTACCAAAACTTAAGGCAATCATTTTGGAGAATTTAGATATTAAAAAAAAAATTAGGGTCAGCCGAGTGGCTCAATTGGTTAAGAGTTAGCTTAAGAGCGTGAGCTCTGAGCAACAGGGCCACCAGTTCGATTCCCACATGGGCCAGTGACCCTGGGCCCGAGCTGAGCTGCCGCTGAGCTGCCAACAGGTGCAGGATGGCTCAGCTGGTGAGAGCAGGTGCTCCTAACAACAAGACTGCCTATTCAGTGGTGGGCTATGCCCACCCGCAACTAAGATTGAACACAGCACCTTGAGCTTGAAGGCCACACGCTGCCAATGGGCAGCCAGATGGCGACTAGCGCCCTCCACAATTAAGATTGAAGAACAACAACTTGGCTGGTCCCCTTCCCCAATTCCCCAACACTGTTCCTGTCCTCCAATTCCCCAATTAAAAAAAAAAATTTAAGGGCCGGCTGAGTGGCTCAGTTGGTTAAGAGCTCGCTCAAGAGTTTGAGCTCTGAGCAACAGCGGTTCGAGTCAGCCCGAGCTGAGCAGCCGTGAGCTGCCAACAGGTGGCGGGATGGCTCAGAAAAAAAAAAAAAAAAAAAATTAATAGGTAGACAAAAATTTTTGCATCTTATCCAAGGCCAATTATCTCCACCTTCATTCCCCATCCAGCTTCTTAGAGAAGATTCTTCCTTATGTGTCACTATACATGATCATTTCACCTTTATGAGAAGTCTTTTGGCTTCTTACAGGAAGGAGCAGTACTGTTCTTAAGTCATTTGAAATATTTAACAATAATATCTGGTCTTAGCCATGACACACAAACACTGAAATTGAGGGTCTCAGTCACTTTAAAAATTAAATACAAAATATAATTCAAAGTCAGTATTTTTTTTTAAATTATCGCCATTATCATGTTTGTGGAGAAAATAAAATACTAACTACAATTCTAACCAGAATTTGTAAATTAAGTAAGTCCACACCTCTATTTAAGTCAGCAGTACAAAGAGGCCTCAAAACCAAACCTTCTCCAGGATGTGTTGGGGAAATGGCTGGAGAAAATGTAGCTGTATTCTGGCTCCAGTCCACTTCTTTGAGTAGACTTGGGTCAAACATAGGAGTTTCATCAGGTTTCATCTTTGCAGTAAGGTCTAAAATAAAATTTTAAATGTTAATCCACTTTATTTAACAGAAGTAAAGTTACTATGATTGGCAAGAAAGTTAATTTCTTAATAAAAATGAATGCAATTAGAAAAATTCTTTAACAGTTATGCAAGATATTTTAATTGAGCTTCCTGAATCTGTAACATTAAATGCCACAACTACAGATACACAGAAAATGCATGATTATTATCAAAGAGTAAACAAGTGACTAAAAGTTTTAAACTTTAAAAGCCCACTTTATGCACGTCTTTTCAAACATTTTTACCTATGGGAATGCTGTGAATAGCTGAGTTTTCATGGGCTCTTATATTTTTTTCATTGTTGGATTTTATTATTAGGCTAAAAAACAAATAATAAAATTTTTGGTCTAAGTTGCCACTAAGGAAGACTTATTGGACATAGAACTTGGTTTTATATATGAACCATGAACTGAAAATAACTTATGATAAACTGACTTAAATTAATTACTCTCTGCGTTCATTGTAATAGTTGGTCTCAGCTATGATAAATTCACACTAAGAACATCTGCTGGATTTGTTTTCACAACAGGCTTTCTAAACATCTATAACATAAGTTTCTCAGCTGCACTTAAGCAGCTTAAGAACAGCCAGTGTTTTTCATGCTAGTAAAGAATGTTCAATTATGATATTTTCATCTCTTTTGAACATTCAGAAATAGGAAGGTTCTTACTTGGTGTGGTCTAATAAAACTGAGACTAAATAATAGATATAAAGATAGAAGGGATGAAAAATAAATTATATAAAACATAAAAACAGGAGGGAGCCCTTCAGTGGAACACAAGAGTTCCTAGAAGAAACAGGGTCTTCCTAACAATTAGGGAGACTGTACAGCAAACCCCAACTTTCATTTCTATCCTATACCCAGTTAAAGAAAGTATTCTATTTGATACCTGCCTCTAGCATGTCTTTGAAAAAAGAATTTAAAGATATACATCCATAATATACTACCATAAAACAAAGAAATACAGGAAAAATTAAATCCATTTAATGACAGAAGCGTTTCCCCAGTAATTTTCAGATGTTCCCTATTTCATAAGTCACAGTACGCTTAAGGGCAACTCTTCTTAACTTTTCCTTAAAGATTGATTAAATTTCTTCCTGTGTAACCCGATGCAGCTATACAGGTAATGCTGCAGCGTAACAGAGGCTCTGGGAAGCTAGTGTGGTGTAACAGAAGTTAACATTGTTCAGCACTTATGTTCCAGGCATTGTTCAAAGAACTTACACACTAACTCACTTCAACACTTCTACAGGGTAGGGATGATTATTATCTGCATTTAACAGATGAGGAAATGCAGGCAGACATGCTAAGTAACTTGCCCAAGGTCACAAAATTAGTGGAGCCAGGATTTAAACACAGGCATGGACAGAGCATGAGTTCTGGAATCAGACCTGGTGTTTGAATGCCAGCTGTGTGATCATGGCTAAGGTAAACTCTGAGAATCCGTTCCCTCGTTTGTAAAATGGAGAGGAAATTACTGGAAGGATAAAATGGATTACTGTATACAGGCACCTGACGGTGCATGACAGATTGCAAGTGCTCAACAAGAAAGATATCCTTGAGTAAGCAAATAATTCAAATTCATGTTGATAAATTCTTTTTAATTTTTTTCACCTGTAAATTAATGAGTCAGGCACTGTGCTGGGTACAGGGGCTACAAAAACAATGACAGGTTGTTTATTATGTTTATGTTAATGCTAACTAAAAGTCAGCATTGTTGGATAGGAAAGAAGAAATTTTTAAAATCATAGTTTATTTTGTAGAATAAGGAGAGGTTTTTTTTCTTTTTCCCCCCCTTAAAAAGTGCTCAGATCATGTTATACTCTAAACACTGTACCTGGCTCTAAGAATAGTAAGGGAAGGAAATAAATTTTGATGATTGAATCATTCATATCAAATTTAACAAGCTCACAGTCCATTTGAAACAGATTTTTTACAAGTTAATTTTACTGCATGATTTTAGTGATTGTCCCTGATAACTGGGCCCCTGAGGGTTTTGTGTGTACTCTCACATGAAAGATGGGTAACAGTGTTATTGTTTTTCAGGTATGCAAACAAACAGGCTAAATATTTATCAATAGAATAAAATGTGTACATTAAATGCAAAAGCCAGAAAGTTTTAAGAATTTAAGTTCCTCAAGACAACACACCATTTAAACATTTTGATGTTCATGCTATTTAACATACAATTGCAACCATGAAGAAAGCTCAGAAGGGAATTTAGATGAACATTAAGACAATTTCAAGTTAACTAGCTTCCTTTTTCCTATAAAGTTGCCTGAGTTTACAATAAAATGTAGCTTAGAAAACATGCAAAATAGGGTTAATAATTTCTGAGAGAGAGGGGAGAAGTATAGCGAAGAAGAATTAGGATTATGAAGCCTTTTAACTAATGAATTTTAAACACTAAATATTAATATTTTCCTGTGCATTTTTTCAACCAGATGGTCCTATTCCATGAATGATCATAAAAATAAATGATACTGGCTAACATTTACTGAGCGCTTTATATTTGTTAACTCTTAAAAATACAATGAAAGATGTATCATTATTATCCCCATTTTGCAGACCAGGAAGCAGGCACAGCAACTTGCTCAATATAACAGCCAATATTAGGTAGAGTTAGGATTCAAAAACAGGCAACAGGGCCAGCCGCATGGGCACCAGACCTGTGTGGTTACACAGGGCCCCACTCTTGGTTTAATTCTCTGCTGCCCTGTCTTGAAATTTTTAATAATTTTTTGACAGAAAGCCCTGCATTTTCATCTTGCATGGGTTACCACAAATTATGCAGCCATTCCTGCATGCCTGCAGACTGTACTTAGTACTAAAGATACACTAGTGAAAATGAATTCCCTACTTTATTGTACAAGAGTTAAAGACATCAAAAGCAGCTCTTGGAACCTATATTTTGAAAATATGAATTTCAAACTAGTCAAAATACATTAAACAAAGCATTCTGGATAGAGTCTGTTAATCAGGCAATCAGAAATTAATATTAAAATGTTTTATGAGCTATTTTATAAAAACAGAGCCATACTTAAGGTTACCTTCTTTTATCTTACTTGGTCCCCATACAGTAAAATTCTGCTGGTGTCCGATTAACATGCTGATAAAACTAAAGTAAGATGTGATTTGACACCAAATTTTCAAAAATTTTAGAAAAAAAATAGGTAAATTTATTTGATTTACAAAAGAAATAATATTTTAGCATCTTAAGGTGCCCCCAGGTACTGCAAAACTAGGAAATTTCAGCAAACATAACTGCATAGCTGTTTGAAGCTGAATTTCATCATTATCACTGGGGTCTTATTTTAAATATTTTAGATTAATTTTAAAAAGTAAACCCATATGTCTCAAGAACCGCTCCTGGTTGACTGTTAAATCAGTATGCATTTACAAGGCCCATATATGCCTAACCTTAGCTCAATAAATGCCTAGTGAATGAATAACAAATGGTATAAGACTTATATGGGGGTCACATTTCAGAAAATCCAGAAGAAAAAAGATTTGCAAACTGCCACAAGTGTTATCACAAAAACCATAAACTAAATTTATTTTTACTAGGATCACATCAGGTTTTCATTCAGTTGACTATTCTTTGGACACACTTCTAACAATTTGCTTTCCCAGCCTCTATAGCCGACTACAATACAAATGGGGAGGAGCTGCTGCTAGAAGCAAGCAAATGAGAGCAACAAGTAATAGACACTCGAAATGAAATTTTTGAGTTGATATAAAGATTTAAAAAACATCATATAAAGCCAAATATAAATTCATATATGTCAAGACATCACTACATTACTTCAGTACCTGGTGAATGGGCAAAAGGGAGACTTATGCTGATTGGGACTAGGGTTCACCTACATATATTTTATAACAATTTCAATAATTTGACTAAAATTTTAATCTAAAGAACACTCAATTTGCTGATGAGTTCAATAGGCCTGGCCATATTAATAAATTGTGCAATTACACTTCACTTGAAAATTTTAAGAAGTATTTCCTGGTAGTTTATTTGATCTTTATAATCTACGCATTACTCTCTCTGGACGTGGACACTGACGCTGGTGGTTTCCGGAATTTACCCCAAGGCTAACACACAAATTAGTGAACTGGACTAGAATGCTGCTATCCTGTTCTCCCATCTTGGAAATACCATCTTCAATCGACACTAATCTTTACATCATTGTGTCAGGCAGGTAGCACTGTCCCCTATGCTAAAAAAGGTCAGCGAATCCTGCCTAAAAAGAACTGATCTGATTTCTTGAGATCCAGTCCTGGATTTGTTGATGAGTGGGTATCTTAAAACTAACCCCATAATCTCCTGTTCAATTTTGTACGAAATTTAAGTTCGGTTTACATAATCGTTATCTCCTATACAGCAGAAATCACAGTACTCGGTGTTTCGAAGGGTAGAAGCCCAGGGAAAAGAGACAAAGGATGTCCCTCCTTCCCGCAGTGAAAGCCCCTATCTAGTATGGTTAGGGCAGGAGGTGATCTTCCGAGCAGGACTGTGTCCTCAAGTGGCTCACGACCGCCCTGGGGTGCGCCTCGGAAAGGAGCCGGGAAAAGGCCTGGGGCGTTCATGCCCATTCAAAAACGATGGCGGCAGAGACTGTGAGCAACAGTCTCGATCCCCACGCCACAGCCTGGTGAGCTAAGAGTTAGTTTCGACCCTCGTCGCGGCTCCGGCCCTGCCAGGGACACCCTTGCAAGGCTGGACCATTGGCCATTATCACTAACCTCAGCTCCAGGCGCATGTCCGCTCAACTTGCTCGGAAGCGCGCTCTACAACCTCGTGCACCCAGCCGGCAAGGATAACCCTGCTCCCCGAGCGGGACACGTCCGCTACCCACCCAGGGCCTAACTCGCCTCGCCTGGGGGCAGCAGTCACACCTGTTTGATTAATCTCAAGGCAGGCCCACCTCAGTCCCCAGGACCCCCGGCCCGGCCTCACTCTCACTCCCCGGCCCCCATCCCCCCTCACCAGTAGAGACCCCGCAGTCGGCGCTCCTCTCCCGGCCCGGCAGACTCTCACCCACCCGGGTACACAGTACTGGATCCGGATCCTGCCTCAGGGCCAACCCCACCTCCTCCACCTCCACCTTCAGCACCACAGTCGTCGCCGCCGCTGCAGCCAAGACGTGGCAGCGCCAACGCCTCCACCCCGCCCCCGCCCGCTTACGCAAGGCCTCACGCAGGCGGGCGGAGGGGCAGAAGAGCGAAAGCGGGGACGCCTCCCGGGGGCGTGGTAGGGGCGTGAGGGGCGTGGCCTGAGGCTATAAGTCAGCCCGCGAGGCGGAGCGAAGACGTCCCGGGAACTCCACCCCTCAGCGGTGGGGGTACTGAATCCTGACGTTGCTCCCTGCAGCCTTCCCTACGGCGTCGGTATGTTAGTTCAGGGGAAATAATTCTACTTAGGAATCAGCTAAGCGCTGTTAATGGTGACTAGCTGAACTTCAGATTCTCAGAGACCAAAGGCTCGGCTTCTAGCCTTCTTCATTTACCCCTTGTTGCCCCTTTAAGTCAATCTATTAATTAGGATTTCGCCTACTCCCTGGCAGCTGAAGCTCCTCATCCCGTTTTCTCAGTCACAAATCCATCCTCCATGAGGTTGCATTCTACTCCTTCGAGGCTGTTCTATTTATTTCTCCCGCAAATCCTATTTGGATCAACACGGGGTTAGGACACTGGTTCTCAACTGCACCGATTTCGCCTCCCCGGAGACAACTGGCAACGTCTGGAGCATTTTCAACCTCGTGTCCCCGGTAGAGGTGTTTCTGGCATCTCTCCAGGTGATAGAGGATTATAGGTAGGTAGCTGAAGACCAGGTATGCTCATAAACGTTTTACAATACACAGGACAGCGCTTCACAACAAATAACTACCTGCCCTGAAATGTCAGTACTGCTGAGGTTGAGAAATCCTGGGTTAGGTAAAAAAAAAAAAAAAAGCCTTTTCTCTGAGCTCCCATTACCAAAGCACTTTTACCTAGTAGCACGTGTACCCATTTTACTGATTAGGAAACAGGTTCAGAGATGTTAAGTAATTTACCAAAGTTTCGTAGCTCCCCTTTCTTGCCTTGTGGCATAAAGTTCAACTTGTTGAATTTGCAAAATATTTTAAACAATATTGTTGAAAGAATTAACGCCATATATAGTCTAGCAGAAATTATATTTTTGCTTGTGAGATTTAAATTTCAGTTAACTCTTTACTGATTCATGCATTTTCACAACTTAAAACATGGGAGAGGCAGATGGCATCCACGTCTCTGTATCCATCCTTGTTTTTACACATACAAAAGAATATATGACATAAAAATAAACACCACTAATCTTAAGAAATATATAGCCTTGTTTTCTTATCAGACTTCTGGCCCTGTGTTTGCAATGAGTTTTTCCTCAGCAACAGAATCCTTATAATTTAGTAAGAGTGAAACAATTATAAGATTTATCACAGAACACAGGGGTTCTAGGAGGTACCCTAAAAGATCTCCTGCATTCCAAGCATTCTCCTTCTTACCCACTTTGTGCCATAGGAAACTAGTTTCTCCTTAATAGTCAAATTCAGTCACTCCAGCCAGTACAATGGTTCCCCTCTTTACCTGTTGGTTTACTTGCAATGAGGAGGCTAATGTAGCCTGGTGACAATCTCAACTACCACTTTAATAGAATCATTGATGTGTCCTCTAATGATTTTTATTTTATGGAATTTTTTAAATGGCGATATAATTGACATATAACATTGTATTAGTTTTAGGTGTACAACATAATGATTCAATATATGTATTTCTTGCAAAGTGTTTACCACAATATGTTTAGTTAAAATCCATCACTGCACAGTTACAAATTTGTTTTTCTCTTGTGGTGAGAATTTTTAAGATCTACTCTCAGCAACTTTCAAATATATAATACAGTAGTATTAACTATAGTCACCATGCTGTATGTTATACCCCAGGACTTATCTTATTGACTGGAAGTTTGTACCTTTTGACTGCCTTTACCAATTTCACTCACCTACCATCCCCACCTCTGGAAACCTCCAATATGTTTTCTGTATCTGAGGTTTTTTTTTAAAGATTCCACATATAAGTGAGATCATACAGTATTGTCTTTCTCTGTCTTATTTCACTTGGCATAATGCCCTCAAATTTCATCCATGTTGTTGCAAATCACAGGATTTTTTTCCTTTTTATGGCTGACTAATATTCCATTATATAGACCATATATATCCATTTACCTGTTGATTGACACTTTGGTTGTTTCCATGTCTTGGCTATTGTAAATAAAGCTGCAATGAACATAGGGGTGCAGATGTCTTTTCTAGATAGTGTTTTCACTTCCTTCAGATAAATACCCAGAAGTGGAATTGCTGGATCATATGGTAGTTCTGTTTTTATTTTTTGGAGGAAACGCCATACTGTTTTCTATAGTGGATGCACCAATTTACATTACCACCAACAGGGCACAAGTGTCCCCTATTCTCCACATCCTTGCCAACATTTGTTATTTTTTGTCTTGTTAATGATAATAGCCATTTTAACAGGTATGAGGTGGTATCTCATTGTGGTTTTGATTTGCATTTCCCTGATGATTAGTGACGTTGAGCACCTTTTTATGTACCTGTTAGCCATCTGTATGTCTGTTTTAGGAAATGTCTATTTAGATCCTCTGCCCATTTTTTAATCAGATTGTTTGGATTTTTGATATTGAGTTGTAAGAGTTCTTTGTATATTTTGGATATTGGGAGTTTTTTGATTATTTAATTATTGATTCAATCTTATTGATTCAGTCAGTGTGTTCAGCTTTTCTATTCATGATTCAGTCATAGTAGGTTGTATGTTTCTAGGAATTTATCCATTTCTTCTAGGTTGTCCAATTTGTTCGTGTATAATTGTTCATAGTAGTCACTTATGGTTTTTTATATTTCTGTAGTATCAGTTGTAATGTTTCCTCTTTCATTTCTGATTTTATTTGAGTCCTCTTTTTTTTCCTTTGGTGAATCTTAGCTAAATGTTTATGAATTTTGTTTGTCTTTTCTATTGTCTTTTTAGTTTCTGTTTCACGTATTTCCACTTGGACCTTTGTCATTTCCTTTCTTCTACTTACTTTGGGTTTAGTTTGTTCTTCTAGTTCCTTACGTTGTTTATTTGAGATCTTTCTTATTTCTTATTGTTGGCTTTTGTCACTGTGGACTTCCCTCTTCGAACTGCTTTTGCTACATCCCATAAATTTTGGTATATTGTATTTTCATGTTTATTTGTCTCAAGGTATTTTTTAATTTCTCTTTTGATTTCTTCTTTCACCCCACTGGTTGTTCAGTAGCATATTATTTAATCTTTATACATTTATGAATTTTCCAGTTTTGTTTTTGTAATTGATTTTTTAATTTCATACTATTGTGGTCCCCAAAAAATGCTTTATATGATTTAAATTTATTGAGACTTGTTTTGTAGCCCAGTATATTATCTATCTTAGAGGCTGTTCCATGTGTGCTTGAGAAGAATGTGTATTCTGCTTTTGGAAAGAATGTCCTGTGAATGTTCTGTAAATGCCTGGTCAACCTGTTTAAGTCCAATGTTTCTTTATTGACTTTCCATCGGGATTATCTACCCATTGATGAAAGTGGGCTATTAAAGTCCCCTACTATTATTTTATTAATTACTGTCTGTCTCCTCTTTATGTCTGTTAATATTTGCTTTATATATTTAGATGCTCCTATGATGGGTGCATAAATATTTACAAGTGTTATATCCTCTTGTTGGATTGACACCTTTATTATTATATAATGACCTTTGTCATTTATTACAGTTTTGTCTTAAAGTCTATTTTGTTTGATGTAAGTATAGCTACTCCAGCTTTCTTTTGGTTTCATTTGCATGGAATATCTTTTTCCATTCCTTCACTTTCAGTCTGTATGTGTCTTTACATCTGAAGTTAATCTCTTGTATGCAGCATATAGATGGGTCTAGTTTTATTATCCATACAGCCACTCTATGTTTTTTGATTGGAGAACATAGTCTATTTACATTTAAAGTAATTATTAATATGTATGTACTTATTGCCATTTTGTTCATTGTTATCTGGCTGTTTTGTAATTTCTTTGTTCCTTTTTTGTTTTGATTTCTTCCTTTGTGATTGAATGATTTTATGTAGTGATATTCTTAGATTCCTTTTTCTTTATCTTTTGTGTATCTATTATGGGTTTTTGCTTTGTGGGTAGCATAAGGCTTACATAAAACATCCCATATTTATAACAGTATATATATTTTTTAAGATTTTTTTTTATTGGGGAATTGGGGGAGGTAACAGTATTGGGGAATTGGGGAAGGGGAACAGACAAGTTGCTGTCCTTTTTTTCTTCAGTCTAGTTGTGGAGGACGTCGCTTCACAGGCCCATGTTGGTATTGTGATCATTGTGCTCTTCCCAGCTGAGGTAGATTGGTCACTGGCCATTGGATGGCTGCTCACGGCGGCTGATGGCAGCCCAGCTCCAGGTCGAGCTGTTGTTCACACTGTTAGCTGTAGAGGGCAGTGTCACTGGCCCATGTGGGATCCGAACCGGCAGCCCTGCTGCTCAGAGCTCATGCTCCCAAGTCAACTCTTAACCAAAGAGCCACTCGGCCAGCCCACAATCTATTTTAAGTTGTTAACAATTTAAGTTTGAAAGCATTCTAAATCTCTACATTTTTACTCTCCCCCCAACATTTTGTTTCTGATGTCACAATGTATATCTTTTCCCTTGCGCATCTATTAACAAATTATTGTAGTTATAGTTTTTAGTACTTTTGTCTTTTAAACTTCATAGCTAGACTTACGATTAACCACTACCATTACATTAGATTATTCTGAATTTAACTGTATATTTACCTTTACCCATGAGATTTCTACTTGCATATGTTTTCCTGTAACTAATTCGTATCAGCTTAAAGAAATACCTTTAACATTTCTCAGAAGGCCGGTCTAATGGTGCTGAATTTCTTCAGCTTTTGCTTGTCTGGAAAACTATCTCTCCTTCAATTCTGAAGGACAACTTTGCTGGGTAGAGTATTCTTGATTGGCAGTTTTTTCTTTTAGCACATTGAATATATTATGTCACTCCCATTGAACTGCAAAGTTTCTGCTGAAAAATCTGCTTAGAGTCTTATAAGGGTTCCCTTGTACGTAACAAGTTGTTTTTCTCTTGCTGT